GTGGGTGGGAGGGGGGGAGAGGGGAGAGAGAGCCAGCAGGATGACGACGCCCACGTCTCCCACCAAAGCCTGGGCTCATAGCAGAGGTCCTGTGGGGTTTCCCCAGAGACCCTCGAGCACAGTTAAAACCCCGTCCCCCCACCGCACCCCACTCCCCCCACTTTGGCCTGCTCCTCTGCCTAACTCTCCCTCTCGGTGCTCTAACTTCTAATCCGGTGGTTGGCTATGAAGTCAGTCTAGGGGGTACAGTCAGACTTTTGGGTAACAGTGTTGACTGATGCAGTGTGAATTGCTTGCAGGACAGTCAAGGTTTTGTGAAACTTGATTTGGTGAGTGTGTGTGTCTGATTGCAAACTATTTTTTTAAAATTTATGACTTATTCTCATTTGCAAACTTGGGGTAGTAAATAAACCTGTATTTGCATTTTAAATAAAAAGTTAAATATTTGGTACATGGCTTATTTGGATTTTTAAAAATAGTATAATGTTTATTTTTACATCATTTTGTGACTATTTCCATCTCAGGTGTAATCCCCGTGGGCTTCCCATCACCAAATCACCTGTGTGCCATCACCACAGTCCAGTGCACTCCCCCCTACCCCATTTTTGACCCCATCCCCCACTCCACCCCTGTAAAATGTCTCTGGCAGATAGTTCATTATTATTATTATTATTTTCTCCCCCAGGTCCTTTATACTCCGGCTATGAGTGAAACCATCCAGTATTTTTCCTTTCTTTTCTGGCTTATTTCACTAAGCATGATCCCTTCCAGTTCCACACATGTCGCTGCAAAAGGCATGAGTTTATCTTTTTTGATTGCCGAGTAATACTCCATTGTGTATATGTAACACATCTTTTTAATCCAGGCATCCACTTTTGGGCATTTGGGTTGATTCCATGTCTTTCCTATTGTAAGTAAATCAGCAATAAACATGGGGGTGTAGGTGTCTTTTCGAATCAGTGTTTTGTGTCTTTTGGGGAGATACCTAGGAGTGGGATTGCTGGGTCATACGAAAACCTCATGTTTAGCACAAACTATCTTTTTCCCCTGTGGGTTATGGTCAAAAGAGTTCAAAGCAATGTTCTCCACCAGCATACTCAATATCCTGCTGGCAAGAGGGCTTGAGAACTCTGGGTCACCTTCCTCGCCCCTCCCTCCAGGGACTCCCCATCCTGGTAGACATCACCCCCTTTCTGACTCCATGGACAGACGTGTGCTGCCATGGACTCCACGTGCTCTCAGCAGCCCAGTCGCCCTCCTGACCGAGAGACTGGGTGAACAGTGTTCTCCCCGCTCCCTGCAGGCTGGAAATGAGGTTCCTGGTGAGGCTGACCAAGTTCCCACGAGCCTGCCCCATTCCCTTTGCGAACGCTCAGCTTATTCACCAACCCCACGGGTTCTGAGACAGGCGGGTGCTGAAAGTAAGACAAGCGTACCCAGGACACTACGGACATGTGCCCTTCTCTGATTCTCTAGAAGGCGTCTTCCTGGCAGAGAGTTGCCATCCTTCCCTTCTTCATTAGTAGGATCCTAGCTTTAATTATGGTAGCAGTGTGCTCAGCTGAAAGACTACATTTCCCAGACATCTCTGCAGCTGGGGTTGGCCAGTGAGATGTGATCATAGTCAGAGGGTGGAACTTCCTGGAGTCTTTTTAGAGGTGCCCACAGTTTAAAGAGCCCCACGCCAGGGCTACTTGTTCTTGGCTGCTGCCATGCACCTTGCTTCCTTCACCCGGAACGTGGGCAAAAAGGCAGGTGCACTGACAGCCATGTTGTGACCTTGAGGCTGAGTTCTCTGGAGGCCTTGGCTGCCGTCATTCATCCTTTGATGCAGGAGCGTAAACCTCTAATTTGTTAAGTGGGGACCCTGTTCCTGACAGCAGAATAAAATTTCTGGCTGGGGCCCTCCCTGGTGGCACAGCGGGTTGGAGCAATGCACTGCAAAGCTAAGCCAAGCCATGGCCACTGCAGTGTGAGTTTGATCCCTACCTGGGAGCTGACCCACATGATGCCACAGACCTCTCCTGACCTGCCCACTGCTGCTCCCCCTCAGCAGTGTATTTCAGTAGATCGGCCTGTTCTGCTCCCCACTCTGTCTCTGGTGAGTTCTCTTGCTGCTCCTGCACCTCTGGCCTGTACCAGTTCTGTATGAATAAATAAATAAAATCTTTAAAAAAAATTTCTGGCTGATGTAGTTTCCTCTGAACTTTGTTAAAGTGAATCAGGGTCTCAAGCAGGTAAACTGATTGGTTTCCTTGCAGAGCATAGAGTCTGTGGGTTAAGGACCCCAGGCTTAAGGAGGGGTGCTCTGGGGCACCACGCAGGGAGGACTGGAGCCAGTCTGCGGCCACGATACTGTGAGGGCTTCCGGAGCCTTGGGCCTGTGTGCCGGGGTCCATCTTCCCACTAGGTCTACTCACCCCACGGCCGTGGGGTGAACCTCAGAGAGCAGTGACCCCCAGAGCTCTGGGGCTGGGCCAAACGGTCAGGGCTGCTGAGCATCCAGCCAGTTTCTTCTTCTCCAGCAGCAGGATAACATCCTGTTCAGGGCTGTGAGGAGCAAAGGGGCTTCCAGAGGGACATCACGCTCCGTGGATCCTGGTGGGGACCCGCCTTTGGCTCCTGGTGGGGACCCTCCTTTCATTCCCTCCGAGGTTGCGTCTTCGCTGGGCTCCCCACAACTACCCAGCCTCTTGACAAGGGCCTTTGGCCCACAGTAGGGCTGGGAAGAAAGCGAAGGAGTGGGTGCCAGCATTGCACCCCTGGGGGAGCTGCCTGGGGCCTTGGGCCCCCGGCTTTGGTTGTTGGGGGGCCTCACCTGCCAGGAAGCTGTGGGCTGAGGGCCGGGAGGGAGGACGGTGCTGTTCCCTCTGTGAGATTTGAGTCCTCAGGGAGGAGCCACCCCCAAGCAGCTGGTTTTCCAGGCTCCACTGCCCCTTCCAGGTCCACTCTGTGGGCCCCACGCGTGGGAGGTACCCACAGGCAGTGACAGCCTCAGAGTCTCAGCTCCAGGGTGACAGATCACGGTAAACATCACCAAGATCCAGTGAGCTGCTGTCACTGCTCGGGCCCAGCTGTCTGCTTCTCTTTCTGGGGCCCAGCAGAGAGCTGTAATCCTGTGGCTGGTGATTCTTTATTAGAATGAGGCCTGGGCTGGAAGAAGGGCCCAGGGGGCCAAATGTCTAATGGGCAGCCTGGACCCAGAAGAGCCAGCGGGCCCTCCCTCGGGGCTGCGGACGGTGCCGTCTCTGTCGGTCGGAGGAGGAAGGGGGCAGGAGTCGGCCTGGGAAGACTCCACCGGCCGGAACAGGGACAGGCACCCTCACAGAGGGGTCTGGCGCTGGCCTCAGTAAAAGCCACCAGGAGGCTGGTCCCCACACCACAGCGTCACTGAGGTTTCAGGCAGTATGGGGGCCCCACTCTGGAGTCCCTCAGCCCCCCAATATGGGGTGGATCCAAGAACTTAATTTCTATACACTGCCAGATGCTGCTGGGTCTCCCCGCACAGGACAAAGGTGGGGGAGGGCAGTGGTCCACCCTCGCCCCCCTGAAGGCACTTGGGTGTGTCTGGGGGGGGGGTTTGGGTGGGTGAGTAGGAGCTTGTGGGGGGAGGATCCCTTGCAGGGTCACACGGGTCCCTGACTTTCGGAAGTCACGCTCTTCCCTTGAATGCAGGCTTTTAGAGAGCAGAATATGGTGACAGGGATGGGTGTCACTTCTGAGACTGGATTTCAAAGGACCGTCTTCCTCTCTGCTCTCTGCACTCGCTCACTCTGATGAGCCAGCTGCCCAGCCCTCAGCTGCCCAGCGGAGAGCAGAAGCAGCTGCTTCTCCAACCAGGCCTGGACCACAGCTCTGGGAGACGCCTGCTCAACTGCACCCCCACACCTTACCCCAGAGACGCCGAGGGAGCAAGCCCAGAGGTTCAGAATCTTTGCATTTGGGCCTCCCTGGTGGCGCAACGGGCTAAGTCTCAGCATTATGAAGCTATTGCAGATGCTTCAGCACGAGTTCAGTGCCCAGCCAGGGAGCTGACACACGTGGCGCGGCAGACCTCTCCTGACCCGCCCGCTGCTCCCCTCAGCAGTGTGTTTCT